AGGGGGGGGCGAAAGGGGGGCCCCTTTAAAAAAAAAAAAAAAAAAAAAAAAAAAAAAAAAAAAAAAAAAAAAAAAAAAAAAAAAACAGTTCATTTATTATTATAGTTTCCATCCTGAAATACACTGTTCACAAAATGTAACTTTGTCTTTATGAGCTCTTTAGCATTCATGGTATACAAAACTCTGGGTAAAGACAATTATCAGGGATACAAAGATACTGAAGACCAATTTTTGCCCAAAGAAGTTTGCAACCTAATAAGATAATAAAAAACACAAATAACTAATAACACAAGACATCAGATTGTTTTGGTTTTGGAGACAAGGTCTTGCTATGTGGCCTAGTCTGATCTTCCTGCCACTATGCTCAGGCAAAACGTGTTATGTTCAATGCCAGAAAGGAAACACAGATCCAAGGATGGTCCAATTACTTGCAATTCATACGAAATAAAGAACTGGGACTGGAGAAATGGCTCAGCAATCAAGAGCACTGGCTGTTCTTACAGAGGGCCTGAGTTTGGTTCCCAGCACCCACCAGGCACTTAACAATCTTCTGTAACTCCAATTCCAGGGAATCTGATGCCCTCTTCTGGCCTCTGCAGGCACTGCATGCACAGGTGCACTTACATTGCAAGCAAAATATATACATATAAAAGAACTATGTGCAAAAGGTAGAACTGCTCAACTGTCAATGTTCTATCAAGCATGTCCAACATGCAGCTCATGAGTCAAGAGGCTAAGCACAGCTATGAATATGGCTCAACACAAAATCCTAAGCTTAATTAAAATATGAGATTTATTTTCTTTTTTCTAACTCAATTAGTTGGTTCTCAAGTGAGGACTTTGTAGATGACAATATCCTTTCACAAAGGTCAAAAAACTGGACATGGGGCTGGAGAGATGGCTCAGTGGTTAAGAACCTGGGTTCAAATCCCAGCACCCACATGGCAGTTAACAACTGTCCATAACTCCAGTTCCAGGGGATCCAAGAGCCTCTTCTGTCCTCCGCAGGCAGTGCACAACACAGGTGCACTTATTTACATGTAGGCAATACATGAACACATGTAATAACAAATAATAAATATAGTAAAAAAAAAAAAAAAAGAAACTGGACATGCCTGCAAGTCTAGACTTAGATTTCTGTTATGTAAGAGGAAAAGCATGGACAGAGGGCTTCAGCTGCAGACAGTTGAGAAAGCTTTCTAGATGGTCCTTGAAGAATGAACATTTAGTTCCCTGACATAAGATAGAGGGGGTAATTTTCCATGGAAAAAGTAAAAGGAACGAAAAAGGAAAGAGAGCACTGAAAGAATAATCTCTGTGGGCAAATGGGATGCATAGGAAAACCGTGGGCAAGAGACTACACACACGCACAGAGGTAGAGTATCTCTGAATGTCAGGAAGAAAGAGACTATCAGCAGACTGGAAGAAGACAGGAGGGGAGTCAAGGAGTCTACACCAGGCAGGCTTACTGTGCAATAGCCCCATCTTGTTTCACAAGGTAGCTGATGGCAGGATAAGCAATAAAGATGGTAAAATGAGAAAAAAGCCAGAACCAAGGAAAAATCTAAGTGAATTGTATGTGAATATAATGAGAGGATGAGATACAGACACAAAGTGCTTGACAGACTACACAGAAGCATAAGAACTTGCAAGCATGTTTCTCATCTTTTATGAAAGACGAAAGGCAGTCAGCCAGGTGTTTGATGCATGCCTTCAATTCCAGATCTCAGGAAGCAGAGGCAGGGGGATCTCTGAGTTCCAGGCCAGCTGGGAGTACAGAGTGAGACACTATCTCAAAAAACAAATCAAAATTCAAAGTCAGTTACTGTGAAATAGAAGATCACACGCTCATCCAGGAATGTTACAGTTTTGCTAGTGTCTCACATGTAAAGGAATAACAGGTAATAAGATAGTAGAAAAGAAAAAGGTAAGAGACAGTACAAGCACAGACTCAGAAGAACAAGTGTTACAAAGTTCATTTATATAAATGACATGGCTTTTTAAAAAGATTTTTATTTTATGTGTATGAGTGTACTGCTTGCTTGTATGTAAGTGTACCCGTGTTGTGCATGTATGTAAGTGCACTGGTGTCATGCCCTCGGAGGTCAGAAGAGGGCAAGGGAGCCCTTCTGTGGTGTTTTGAATGAAAATGTCCCCCATAGGCTCCAAGTATTTGGACATTCTGTCCCCAGATGATGGTGCTGTTTTGGGAGGTTTTAGAAGCTGTGGCTATCCTGGAGGAAGCACATCACTGGGGGCGGGCTTACAGAGTTCTTAAGCCTTGCCAGATCTCCAGTCGGTCTCTTGTTTCCTGTGCCTGCTGGAAGATGTAGAGCTTAGCTTCCACTCCTCTTCTCCAGCCACCTCTGCCACCATGCCTCCCCACCAAGATGGACTGTAATTCCCCTGGAACCTTAAGCTCAAATAAACTCTTCCTTCTATAAACTGCTTGGGTCAGTGTTTCTATCACAGCAACAGAAACGTGACTAAGACACCTTGGAACTGGAGTTAGGAAAGTTGGTTTTTAGCCACCATGTAGGTGCTGGGAATCGAACCTGGGTCCTCTGCAAGAGCAGAGGCATCTCTCCGCTAAGCCATCTCTCTAGCCCAAAAGACAGGTTTTATTTAAAAAGTACTTATATCTGTTGTCTTTATTATAGCAAGTGGACTGTAAAATTCAGTAGTAACAGAAGCCTCCTAATAAGAGATCTGATACGAGCTTAGTAATCACTGACCTAACACTTTGAAATAGTATTTCTTAAAGAAATGAACACATTACACATTTTAAAAAAAGTATAATAATAAGGAATAGAGATTAAGTCCGGGTAAACATGGGCTGATATTTCTTGAGTCCTTACCAATTTTGTTACTACTTGAATGTGTTGGTTCTGGATCTTCTGCTATTTGTTGTTTGAGTTTTTGTAGATATTTTTCAGCCAAATATTTAAAAACTAGAATAAACAGGCACAATGATCAGTATGACTAAGCAAGTAAATCTATTTTAATATTGTAATAGCTACATGTACTAAAGAAATTTAAAATTAGATGTAGAAGCATACAATTAAGTCAGAAGTTCACCTTTTAAAAATTATTTGTGCAATATCTGAGAAGCACAATGATACTAAAATGCATGGTAGCATCTTAGTAGAGATCTGAAGCAATACTTAAGACACATGGGCTCTTCCATTTGAAATATTTCAATCACAGTTAATCCCTAGCAACACTAACTTCACTCATTCTTTGCATCACATTCAGCTTAAGCAGAATTAAGCTAATTCAGTCTTGAAAAAAATGTCCTTGTTCTTTAGGTGAAGAAAACTATGCAGAATAAACACTCAAGTGATGATCCAGTTGCAATCCAATAATGAAAATTCTGGAATGATGTGTCTCAAATTTCTTTCTTTTAACCTTAATCTCTTAAACTGGAAAGTATTATTAAAGAAATTGCTATTATTGCTAATGGAATAGCTACTTGAGGAGTAAGAAAACAATTCAGTAATTTTTAAAGGTTATACATGAAAAACACAGCTGCATACACTCACATATAACTTCCGATTTTAAAAACTTTTTTTCATGTGTTTACTTGGGGGGGGGGGCGTGCATGTATGCCATGGCATGCATTTGAAGTCAAGGGACAACTTTTAAGAGTCAGTTCTTTCCCTCCACCATTTGGGGTTCAGAGATTGAACTCAGGTCATCACGCTTACCAGCAAGTGCCTTTACCTGCTGAGCTACTGCACCAGCCCTATACCTGTAATTTTTAAAGATAATAATGATGATGATGATTTTTAAAAAGAAACCCTAAAACCTCAGAGTTTCTGGAAAGAATAAGTAACAGTTGAGGATATTAGTAAATAATTAAGAACCCTTGAAGCAGAATGCCTTCAAAATTAACATTATATAACAAGAACACTGTATTCTGAAAATGTTTAGAAATCCAATTTCTAAACAACAAAGAGCATTTAGAAAGACAAATTTCCTGCTGCAATATAGTTTTAAAGATGCAATTTACCTTCATTCACATTTAGATCTTCTTTCACTGATGTTCTGTAGAATCTTAACTTTAACCTTTTGGCCAGTGCCTCAGCTTCCTCACTGCACATCAATTAAAACAAACAAACAAAAAGCCTGTAAAGGTATCTGCTGACAGCAGATTATTTATATAATTATTGTTTCAATATTACCACTAACACTGAAGGGTGGGTCAGTGGGTCAGATCCTTTACAACACTTGCACATTTCCTCTAAAGCTTGATACAGTTAACTAAAGCTCATTGAAAGCTATGTCTTCACTGCTTGAGTAGGATTTTCATCTTCACTACTATTGGAGAATAAACACCAATCGTTATACTATAATTACAACAGCACTTTTCGATGAAGTCACAAAATAATTATCACTTTCTTTGGAGAATATCTTAATCTGGGGTTAGGGATGTAGCTCAGTTGGTAGATTGCTTGCATAGCATGCTTGATTTCCTGGGTTCGATCCTCAGCACTGCATAAACTGGGAATAGTGGCTAGCACTTGGGAAGTAGAGACAGAAGGATCAGAAGTTTACTGTCATTCTCAGGGAAATTAGAGGCCCGGGGTGCATGAGGCCATGTTAAAAAACAATAGAGGCCCGGAGTGCATGAGACCATGTTAAAAAACAATAGAGGCCCGGAGTGCATGAGACCATGTTAAAAAACAATAGAGGCCCGGAGTGCATGAGACCATGTTAAAAAACAATAGAGGCCCGGAGTGCACGAGACCATGTTAAAAAACA